TTTTGTTCAGAGAATTTGTCGTGCTTTTCTCCGTGCGAGGCTCTCGCTTGGGAAATTCGGGCGGAGGTGGCAATGTTCGTCGGAAGAAGTGAACGCCAGTAAAAGGCAGCTTCTCGGCGCTTGTTAGTCTCATTAGAAAGCCGCTGACGCGGAGCCAAACGGAATCTCAAGGAGTTGAGCAAGCTGATAAGATCGAAGTCCTTGGCGACTGACAACTCCGAGTGCTCGTTTCTTCTCGTCGGTACTTTTAATGATTCAATCGTCGCTTTAATTTTAGCACAACTCGGACCGGCACGTAACAACGCTCTGACCGCGCATGAACGAAGAGTTGTAAAAACATGTCGCTATGATAATGGGTTCTCTTCCTTTCCCTGCCTGATCTTCCTGTATAGTTTTCCCAAAAGCACTCCCATGCACGGTAATTTTATTTCAGCAGTGCTAATTGGACCGCGTTAAGCAGAAAGGAACCAAGCCACATCAGCTTTTGCCAAATTTGACCAGACAATTTAATTTTTTTCATGAAAACCGTTGTGCGGATTTTCGTGCAAATTTCAGTGAATTTTCTGCATAATACAAAGCAAATTCCCTGAAATTTTCAAAGGAATCCGCACAAACCTTCTTTAGAAAAAAATTAAATTGCCTCGTTAAAGGCAATAGCTGATGTGGCTTGGTTCCTTTCTGTTAAACTCGGTCCAATTGGTAGATGCGTGTTCGAAACGCGGCAACGCGCAGCGTAGCAATTGGGACACAGACGGACTGCCTTCATATATTAGTACAGGCAATACCGCATTGCTCAGGAGTTCGAATAGTCGCATCACTTGATTCGATCATTCCGCAGCGAGCCCGCACTCGCTTACCAGTGCTTGAATGTGCATTCAGCTCTTCGGTGGTAACAAATGCCCTGCACAGAGAGAAATATCAACACAAAACTTTGGTTGATATAGGAGGTAAAACACAAAATAACCTTCGGTTGACAATTTCAAGAGAAAATGTCAGCTACTTTTCTTGATGAAATTTAATAAAAATAAAAAATGATGAATACCAACGTCGCAATCGAAGATATGCATTTTCCAAGACTCTCTATTGCATTCTAATGGACCACTAGACAAGGTTCGAATTTAAGCCTTGTGATAAATGTTTCTTTACCAAAATTTCACGTAAGACACGATGCGCACAACGAAAATTACCGAAATCAACTTCTTACGAAGATATTTAATGATTCTTGATGCGTGAATTCAAACCTCTCGCCTTGAAAACTCAATGCTCTACGTGACTCACATCGCGCGCTAAACGTTATCATGACAGTCTCTGCGATATAAAAATCTGGCAACCTCAATCTTGACGCTTTGGCTCAGCTGTAGCAAATTGCTTATAGTTTGAACAACTCATGGTGGAAAATGAACATTGCTCGATTGAGATGCTTGCTGAAACCGTTGCAGTGCACGATTTGACTCACGTAGAGCTTTGAGTTTCTTGTGAGCGGGCAGTTCAAATTCCTCGTAGCCTATGTGAAATAAAAACGTTAATATCTCCGTTAGGAGTTGGTTTCAGTAATTTTCGTTGTGCGCGTCGTGCTTCACGTGAAATTTTGGTGAAGAAACATGAATGAGGATGCTGAAATTCGTACCTTGTCTAGTGGTCCATTGTTTTCTGCGCTAACTTCACCGGAACCTAACCTACCAGAAGGCAGATATGTTAGATGTCTCATTGTGTGATATGCTTATGTGTGGAGGTCCGGTTACTCCTACCGGAAGAACACACTCATTGACCAAAGCCGGAATGGAAGAGGCATCAAGCCTCTTGAAAAAAAAGCTTAAGTAAAAATTCCTTTCAGATTGAAATCTACACTATTTCAGCAAGTCTTCGATCGTATGATCAAGGTATAGTGTAACTAAATTTTTAACATATTCAAAAATAACTCAGTTTCATAAATCTGCCTCTTAAACTGCATCTTCCACGCAGTTTATTGTTGTGATTAATTCAGCATAACTAAATGTATGTAAAAACAATTAATATTATTCTAGAGGTTTCCGTTCAATTTCACTTCAGGGCTTGTCATTTTACTGTCTAATTAATTATTAATGCAAGCTTCATGAGCATGTTTTCTCTCATCCTGCAATTCATTCATAGGTTCATTTCTATCTAGTTTGGAAATTAGATGTTCCATCAAACTAAGAAAATTTGAAACATTCTAATATTTTTTTCAACAGAGACCATAACGTCCAAATTATAAATTTTGGGCCGATGTATATACACAAAAAACGAGTGATAAAATATTAGATAGCGAAGATTCGTCAAACTGGCTGAAAAACTTACAAGGAATTCCTCTGTTTTAAGTTCTATAGATTCAAGGACTGAGCGGTCATGTAAAGAACTTGTCGAGAGCTTTCAAACAACCTAAGATTGAGCTCTGCAGCTGCAATAGAACCGGAGTTATTGAATTTTAAAGTTGGCGAAGTCCGAAAATTTCAAATTTAACCACAACCCTAGCGAAAATATTACCTTGCGGTGAGCTCACCATCACCTTGCGGCAAGGTATCGGCCTTGCCACCCTCTCCGAGCCCTATCCGAGGCCTCGCCGGGTCAGTTCGTGGAACTCAACGACTGGGAATAATTATGCATGGCAACGTTGGAGACGAAAAGCATACCCAACACGGGGTATTTCCCGATGCTGTGTCGCCTTTTTCGCGCCCTGCGTCTGGATTTGGGTCTACAGTGTTGTCATACGGTTTTATTCCCGGTCGTCGAGTTCCATGAACTAGCTCGGCGAGGGCTCGGAGAGGGCGGCAAGGCCGATACCTTGCCGCAAGGTGATGGTTAGCTCACCGCAAGGTAATATTTACGCTAGGGAATGGAAAAAAAAAGCACATTGGATCTAGAGTCCAGACTCTTAAAAACATCGACAAGAAAAAGTACTCTTGATTCAATCAGAATCTAGCTGAAATCAAGAACCAAGCCTCCTAATTTAAGTGGATTTAGTTTTGATTCAAGCAAAAATCCGATTGAATGAAGAGTATTTTTCCTTGGCAATGTTTTCAAGAGTCTGGACTCCAGCTCCAATGTGTTTTTTTTTTTTTTTTTTTCCCCCAGTGCACCCTATATCTCCGATCCCTGTCGACCTGGGGGCGTAAAAATTTGTTCTGGGTATAGTTTCAAAGCAAAGTTATCAAGTGGGCAAAATTTCTTGTAGATCAAAAGCAGTCGAAAATATGCTTCGTTGAATTGACATGGAATGACCCCTGAACTTAACCTCTATTTATTTTATAAAACCCTACCCCCAGAAACATGGTAATTAGCCCTTCATATTCCACCCAATATAAACTAAAAAGGAGAATTAGCTTAGAGAGAACCTAGTGCACAAAATAAGTGTGGTCAGGGATGACGAATGTGCTTCGTAGCTTCGCCGCGCCGGAGGGGAACATAAGGTACTATCACGATCTACCCTCAAGAGAATAGCGGAGTGTCTGATCCACGCCCAAACGCGCCGGATGTCTGCAGTATTTGCCAGAGGGTGATGAACGACCGCGAGTTTTCCCTTCCTTTAAACGCAAAACATGTACCAGGAATACAAATGTGCTTGTACTCTTGCGTGTGGTCTGGCCGTACGGATATATTAATTACATAATGGGCCAATCGACGAGGTCTGAGCGAGAAAATGAAAAGTCTAAAGTTTTCGTTTCTTGCGTGGAAAACGATTCACAGGTCGGGGAGTTCGAAAATCAACTCCTATACAAGATATTCACGAGTATTTTCACAACAAATGCAATGGATGTTGAATGATACAAAATACATCGTATGTACTTTTACGATTAAATCCTTATAAATAGCAAACACCTACGACCTGTTTAAGAATTGATTTTCAGACTTCTTCAAGTGGGTTCGTTTTCTCCGTAGAATTTTGAGGGGAAAACATGTTGCGGAGTGAATAATTCGTATCTCGTATGGAGGCCAATAAAAAGCAGTGTCTCCGTTTTGCGTCTAATTAGGCGCAGTGCGTCTTATGTACGCCCTGGCGTTCCATTGTGCGTCTTGCGTCTAATTGCGTCTTCTTCAGTAAAATATGCGTTTGATCCTTCTAAAATTGCAAATTTTTATAAACTTGATGAATGAAATGCACTTATTATCTCTGAGTATCAGTATCACTTTCTCCTAGTGATATGTGTCCAAGGCTTTTCGTTTTTGCCTTGTACATGTACATTAATTTTCGTTCATCGCATTAACAACCCTGGACCGGGACCGAGAGGCGGGGGCTTACAGCTCTTGAACTGTAAATTAATATGAATTTACAAGATACTCGTGAGGAGTTATACGTTCTGAATGAAAAGACTATCGGTCCATCAATTCCCGCTTTGCGATAAATTAGTATTGTGACCCTCGTCACACTTTAATGACACACGAGGACAAGAATAGAAGAACACACTAAACTGATCCAGATACAGGGTTATTCAAAAGTCACGCACCACTGGCCATAAGGGGGGCGGCCATTTGAAAACTTTGGGTTGCCCCCCCCCCCGAGGGGATCAAAAACTGGAAAGTACCCAAAACAGTTTCCCCCTCGATATGAGGAAAACCGTTTGAAGCCGCAAATCGATATCATAATTAGAAGTAAAGTTATGGCCAGTCTTGATATAAAAATCTTGAATCTTCAAATCTTGATATACAAAATAAGTAATAAAATAAAATTGAAGGAATTAATTTTATTACTGTAGATAAGATAAAAATCTAATCCACTCAAGTTTACCACAAATTAAAATCAATCAAAAATGAAAAGGGAATATACCCATTTTAACCATTAATCCCAGAGTCAAGATAAAACTACATATATAGCCTATATTAAATATATAAAATAAGATAAATGTAAGTATAACTAAAGAAAAAATTACTTGAACTAGATAATATCCTATTGTTGCTTCCCTGGTTCTGTATCCTTTTCCTGAACTTTATCCGTGACTTTTGAATAACCCTGCGTTTCTCGCAATAGAAACATATTAAAAGCTTACATTGAGCTGGTTGAGGTTGAAGTCGGAGCGGTGCGTGATGGTGCAGCTGGACTGGGAGAGCCCGGACTCGTTGTTGAACGTCCGCCGGAACTTGATGAGGTTCCGGGTGATCATGACGTTCATGACGACGATGCACACGAGCGGGATGATGAGCGTGACGAGGGAGTCGATGATGTTGATGATGTGCATCGTCTCGCGGTAGTCCTCGAACATGCCGCACTCGCGCACCCCCTTGGTCGCCTCGACGATCCCGGCCGTGAAGAAGGTGTAGCAGTTGACCCCGAGGGCGAAGAGCGTGATGCACGTCACGATCGTCTTGGCCCGGGCCACCGTGCACATCGTCGGCCGGTGCAGCGGGTACTGCACCGCGATGAACCGCTCCACCGTGAACGCCACGATGAGCCACACCGAGAGGAACCCGCACACCGAGCTCAGGTACACCAGCGCCTGGCACCACCCCTCCCGGTGGAACAGCTCCACCCCCAGGTACTCGTTGCTCCAGACCAGGAGGATCGAGAAGAGGAAGCCGAAGTCCGCGACGGCCAGCGCGGCCAGGTAGTAGCTCGAGCTCCGCATCTTCAGGTGCGTGTTGAGGAACACGATGCACGACAGGAAGTTACCCACGAGGCCCATGAAGATGATGACCGGCAGGTAGTACGAGTAGGTGAACTCGAGGAAGACGAAGAGCGTCGGGTAGCCGAAGCAGGTCTCCGGGCGGCTGGCGTCCGACTCGGCTTGGTTGTAGGCCGGCTCCAGGCCCTCGCGGTTCATGAGGATGACCCATTCCGTCCCGGCCTTGCTCCCGTTCTGGTCGCGGAAGGCCGCCGATAGGTTGGAGAAGGCCACTACGTGACTCGCGTCGATGTCCTCTTGGCTCATGTCGCCCGCTACGAACGCGATGACCCACCCTTGGCTTCCGGCTCTTTGAATCTTTTCCGGTTCATCCTTAGCGGTTCGTTCAGCAGCTCGGCAGTCTTATCGATAGGGCAAGAAAATCTGCTGATTCCAACACATAGTTCGTCGTTCCAGTAGTATCCATCCTGGTGATATAAGCCGAGATTCCCGAATGAAAATTAACCTCCCCGCTTAAAATTTTGCAATAAATAAACAAGCCGTAATATTTTAATAGATCTCTCGATTATGAACGTAGAACTCCGGCGGAAAAATCTGCTGATCGCGACCGGCAGTTCGCCGTTTCAATAGTATCCATCCTGGCGAAATAAGCGTAGATTTCCGTATGAAAATTAACCTCCCCGCTTTAAATTTTGCAATATATCAACAATCCGTAATATTTCCATCAATCTCTCGATTCTTATCATAAAACTCTACTCCTCACGACCAACTTCATTTTCAGTTTATTTCGTCTCAGGTTCTAACCTGGAGGTTGCGGTCCGTAACGGTATTTCACTTCCGTTGCACTTCATGAGGGACTAGAAATGTCACCAGATGATTTAATCGGGAGGTAAGACGTGAGCAAACGGGCAGAACTGGAGTGGGTGGACACTCCACTCAAAAGTAACATTTATACTGAAATAAAACGGTCAGGATGTGGGCTTCCGATTTCCGATGACGCGTAGAACGCCGGCATGACGCTTCACGTCCACGAAACTGAAACAGAAAAAAAGCGAGGAACATGAGGTTACAGAATTTGCTGGATCTACAGATTTACCGATAAAAACAGGCTCGCTGATTTAAAGGCGGATGCCTCAATTACCGCTACTAGGTCGATTTATTCTTCGAAGTAAGCTCGCATTAGCAGCGAAATTCGTGAGGCAATGGGGTGAGTGATTTCCGTAAGTTGACTAAACTGACGGAAAAGTTGGTTGTGGGTAGAGTACCTGTATAGGGAGAGTACCGACAGATCTGGAACTCCGAAAGCCCATCAGGCCTTCACCGATGCCTCCGCGAATAAAGTTAGGGCCCAAAAGGGCAGCCAACCTATGAATTTCAATTATCCAGAGCGATTTACTGATACTATTATTGTTACGAACCGTCCTTTATTAAGCACGCGTTTGACTCAGTTTTTGGATAAATTGACTCAATTTTGCGGAAGAACGCTCATTTCTGTACATTCTTGGCCATCTTGGTTAGAATTGGAATCTGCAGACTGGCAGTGAAATTTTGTGCGTTAGAAGTTGGTTAGAAGGGTGGCTGCACTTTCGAGCCCTAAGCCTTTCTCCCTATACAAGTACTCTAGTTGTGGACAGATGGAGCCGAAAAAAATGAAATTCAGGAATAAAAATTGTTATGGTGGCTTTCTTAACAGAATTGCTGCGGTACAAGGTAAGAAACTCTCTCATTTCCTTCTGTTCCTCAAACATGGTCATAAGTTTGATTGTTTCAGGGTTTTTATGTACGTTTTTCCTGACTGAAATCGCGTATGCTTAAAGACCAACTTTAGATCGGCAATGTTCATTGCTAGTAAAGTATTAAGTATTTGTTATAAGTATTAATGTTGGTGAAATGAGTAAGCCCGAAATGTCCCGTTCAGTTAACGTTAATGTTGGCGTGTACCCCGATTTCAAGTGCTACTTCTGTCATGTATCAATGGCCCTGATCATTATTCTCACATGAATATCTATCAAAATTATGTATTATTACGTTAAAGCAATAGTGGTACTCCCACAAACTGAGCCTTGCACAATGAATGCATTTTGAATTTGAACATGAGCCCTGATACACCGGTAAACTGGTCAGGCGGCATGCTCAGAATAGATAAATACGATCCGCACTAATCCCAATTTATTCCTCACAATCTTGGAGAGTAATTTTCTGTCAAAAGCAAACGATTCAACGGTGCGGTGCCACTGATAACACTGTGTTCTGTCAACAACAACACTGCACATACGCGCTCTGCCGGGCCGGGCACCAAGTCCCCGCTGTCTTTTTCATTATTTTCCCCCTTTATTTCCGTATTCAATCATCATGCTTTTGACTTCGTTCGATGTCTGGTGGAACCCCTCACCGTGTCTACGTTTACAAGAAATATCGGGGTTCCTCCGTGCATGATTTACGGGTGCCTCGCGGAAGGATGCTACAGATAAATGTTTCAAAATAAATCTCAGTTTTTTTGTCTACGCAGCCGTCAGTATGATATAACATCAAATAAAGAATACGCTCCTTGAACCCCATTAGTTTTGTTTGTTAAGAACACTAAAATACTCGAGTTTATTATTTCGTCGATTGTTGCAGTTTTAAATAAGACGGTGTGTTTAAATTATTTTCTTTTTTATTTTATTACACTGGAAAAAACAACATTGGATCTGGAGTCCAGACTCTTAAAAACATCAACAAGAAAAATACTCTTGATTCAATCGGATATTTCCTTTAAATTCAAGCAAACATCTGATTGAATCAAGAGTATTTTTCCTTGTGAATGTTTTGAAGAGTCTGGACTCTAGACTCAATGTGTCTTTTAGCGGCTCTGGTGCTTGCACTAGAGCTGCTATTCCGGACGGTCCCAGCTGGGGAGTATCAACGGACCATGTTACATTGGAGAGACCGCGTGTTGGTTGATGGGAATCGGCGCCATTTTCTGCTGTTTAGGGGGGACTGATTTTATTTTAATTGATATCTTTTTCCTGTGAGCGAATGCTATGTTGTGTAGTGTATTTTTGGAATCATGGTGATACTGTCAATAATTCAAAACGGGTCTGTGCTTTAATCTCGCACTGGAAAAAATGTACTTTACGTTTAAAATTTGAAAATTCAAATCTAAAAGTTTTCGCGCTTTTTTCGAAGAATGCCGTGGTTGGAGCTTCCTAGTCATACTACTCGACATCAGCTGATAGCAAACAAAGGTTACCAAGGAAACCGTAAACGCGTAACAACTACCTACCGTCGCCAGAGCCGCTTTCCGACGCGAATGCGTTGGAGCTTCCTGCTTGTTTTCCCAGTCCATCTCTCATTTTCTTAAATTAAAGAGTTTAAACACATAAGATTCAAACATTTATAATAACAAAATAATTAAAGTATCAACTTCCTAACGAGCCAGTTCCCGGAACTCTGATAAAGCTAATTCCGGGGGGAAAGGCACATTGAAGTAGCATAAATATGCGTGTGCTCTACGCAACGAACATTTGATGGCGATAATTTCGTAGAATAATTACAATCTCTGAAGGCCCTCAGAAATTTTCAACAGACGGAATTGCACGCCCTGCACAAAGTTCAATCCCTACGGTATAAAAGTAAAGCTTGATTTCGCCGAAACAACCTCTCTGATATCGCGATCGGAATATGAGTCACTCGAGGCATGACTTCGTAGCCGTGGAAAATTCGTGACTGCTGAACTGAGCTGAAATTAAGCCCCAGTCTCCGTCCCTCAAGGCGGCAAGGAGTCGAGTTCAGCCGTCAAGAGACATGGCTCGAGCACTCTATTGATGAGCGCTGGCTCCGAAGGGTAATCGATACAACTTAAAGCTAAGCAGATAGAAAACAAGGGGAGAGCTTTTAAATACAGTACATTAAATAAATTAGACGACGAAAAAATAAGGAGCCCACGCATTTTTTTTCAACGGCGGGGTCATAACACGGGAGCGTCTGGGAGAGTCCCGCTGGTGCCACATTTTTCAAGCTAGAGAAATGCTTCGTACATGCACGGGAAAAAAAGAAATAGGAAACACATTCGATCTAGAGTCCAGACTCTTGAAAACATTGACAAGAATAAAGACTCTTGATTCAAGCAAATTTAAGCTTAAATCAACGGGAAATCCGCTCAAATTAAGAGGCTTGGTTCTTAATTTAGGCTTAAATCTGATCGAATCGAGAGTATTTTTTCTTGTCGATGTTTTTAAGAGTCTGGACTCTAGATCCAAGGTGTTTTTTTTTCCAGTGTAGTTCTGATTTTTTAAGGGTAGTCCGCAAGTAATGAAGTTTTCCGGATTTAATATTAATAATATTCCCGATATATAATTATTATTCCGGATATATAATTATAATTATTATATTAATATAATTCCGGAAGAATGTCCGGGTTTGTCTGCATTTTCTCGTCATTTTCGTCGCAATTCGAGCGAGCAATTCAAATTTTTGAAATATTTCGAATTTCGTCAAATGAAGGTACCGACAAAGTACTGAATTATCCTGTTGAGGAGGTACTGAATAGAAAGAATAAAGACTCTTGATTCAAGCAAATTTAAGCTTAAATCGACAGGAAATCAGCTCTAATTAAGAGGCTTGGTTCTTGATTTAAGCTTAAATCTGATTGAATCAAGAGTATTTTTTCTTGTCAATGTTTTCAAGAGTCTGGACAGTAGAGCCAATGTGTTTTGTTTCCCAGTGTGCGCAAATTATGTTGGGTGATAAAGATGGGAGCATAGTAACGGTTAACGCCTCGTGTTTAAAATTTAAAACTGCGCCAGTTGGAAGTGATTGATATCGATGGCTAACGAACAATATCGCCTATCTGGGAACTGACGATTTTGCAGAACGAAGAGGAAACTTCGCAGATTTTGTAATTTAAAGGTTAGATTGGCATTTTTAGCGTTACGACATTACAGCGGCATTCAAGCAGTCCCCCACAGAATTGGACAAATGTTACAGAATTCCTTGATGGCCATGTATACAATAAATATTACTGTTATTAGCCTTAAGATTGTTCTTTCAAGGGAGATATTTGCTTCACATTACTACAGAGAGAAAACTCACTGTAGGAATACAATAACATGTCTAAGAAATCATAATTTCAGTGCACCGACTGCTATAAACACAATTATGATTCATTTTTTACATCTTATTCTCTCCATGAAGAGTCAGACATTCTGAATTTTGTCGTTTAAAGGTATTTAAGCGCAATCGTTTGTTAACTAACAGCCGTTTTATGGTCGACTTTTACGAAGTGTCAGACTTATGAGAGCGAAAAGCAATGATTTCTAGCATCAAATTTGCAGTCTCGGGAAGGTAAAAATTATAAAATTTCCTCTTACCGGGTGATCCCCCCCCCCTCCGGCGTTGGCATCTCCGACGTCAAACACATTAAACTGTACACTAGATAAAAAGAAAATGACCGTCTTTGGTTAGATGATTACGCGGGATCGGACGAGAAATGAAATGTTAGCGTCCCGAAAACGCAAACGAAGTCCCAAGTACCCTACGTTCTGCACAAGCGGAGAGTCAATCTGACACCGAGCAGACATCATTAACTTCCTCCATTGTCACGAATCTGAGAAGCCGCAGTGTTTTCTTAATTATTTCCCAACGAAGCTCCCTCAAAGCTAGTCTAAGTTTCTTAATAATGAGGTTTGGAGCATAAAATTACCCCGTTTGCTCCGGTTTTATTCTTCGTGTTAGAACGGGGCTGGATGTATGGATATTGCGCCGGTTTAAGGAGGCGTTCCCTCCCTGCGGGAATCGTGCGGCTTCGATGCGGGTTTATCTATCCTCGCTTTCCCTCGACTTTAAGCTCACCCAAGATGTTCTCTTTAAACAGCTGCAGATAAATAGAAAGGGATTCGACTTTCCCTTTCCATGAATTTACTTCTCGATCCGTCTTGTTAACACACAGCTAAACACTTACTTGATTTTAATGAATCCTTATTTCGGGCTGAGTCGAAAAATATGTTCACAGGCTTCGAAATCTTGGCGTAAGACCGTATCTCAATTACCATGTC